ACTGTATCAACCTTGTTGTGTGAAATAATGCTGGAAACGACAAACTTGAGCCTTTTAATAGCAAATTTTGTATGTAGGATGTTGTAATATAGGAGTAACGACGGAGTGAACTGCCTTCTACGGTGCTAAAGAAGAATTAATCGCCGGTGCTCATTTTGTGTTTTCAGTAAAACAAACAAGTTTTTCCCGGAGATTGCTCAGACTGCAAAGCGAGTGATTGATACCGCAAAAATACTGGAAATGCCCATCATCGTTACTGAACAATACCCACAACGGCTCGGTTCGACAGTGAAGGAGCTCGGACTAGAGCACAGCATTCCTCGATATGCGAAAACACAAGTAAATTAGAATGTTCGTTTTCTAGAGGATTATGACAATACCATCGTTTTGTGAACCTTGGTTTCCAAAACCAAAAAGAGATTGTACTTTTTTAGTTCTCAATGTGCGTACCGGAAGTGGAGCCACTTCTCAAAGACAAGGAAAGTGCTATCATTGTTGGTCTTGAGGCTCATGTTTGCATTTTGCATACAACTTACGGTCTGCTCGAAAAAGGACTCAATGTTCATATTGTGGCCGATGCAGTGACTGCAAGGACTATGGTTGATAGGTGAGGGAACTTCTTGCATAATAACCCGGTATTATTCTGTCTTTGCAGGAAATTTGCGTTCAGGCAGTTGGAAAGAGCTGGAGCCATTCTGACAACATCTGAATGTGTCATTTTGGGCTTGTTGAAGGATGCTAAACATCCCAAATTCAAAGAAGTACAGAAGCTGATTATGACGGAAGCTCCAGACTCAGGGCTCCTGGACATGTGAGAAGCTCATGATTCCAGAACCCGTTGGATATTTATAGTTACCGCTCAATGACCAGACCGGTTGTATGCTTTCCTCACCTAAAGCTACCTGTTTTGCTATTATTTACGTACTTGCCATTTGTGGTATCTGGACGTCTCATGCTCTTGAAAAATTGCTAGTCTGCTTGAATGTGCAAATTTACTGTTTGTAAATGCATGTTTGCAAATT